ACGGACAGACGGACAGACGGACAGACGGACAGACGGACAGACGGACATGGATAAATCAACTCAGCTCGACGTTTTGATCAAATAAGTATACATTTTAATGGGTCTATCTCTTTTTGTTCTGGTACTTACAAACATCGGACCAAAGTTATAATACCATTTCATGCTCATGAAAGGTATAATAATTTACAATGGATTGATTTATAACAGAGATTACTTTTTGACTCTTAGAACAAGTGTATTAACTTTACACACAATCAAACATATTCTCATAAGTCATCGCAATGAAATCTATATTTTAAGTGAGTGTTATAATATAAAAGGTTTTAATGAGCACTACCAATGCTATGAAGTTGGTATTAAAGAAAACATCTTACAAATTAATAATGTTATTAATTTCGAAGGACCGCCTATTCACATATACCATAATGTAAAAGGAGTTTGCTTTATACGAATAAAGAAATTTTAAAAGTGAAAATAAAGTATTTAACGCCTTATTTTTTGGGAGAGGGGTGAACCTTATGTGGATAAATATCAAATTGATACTAAAAAACTGGTGTCAATTTTGTAAAAGCGAGTATCAAATCAATATTCGGAAAAATATCAATTTGATAAGAAAATGAATATCAAATTGATACCAAAAATTGTTTGCTATCGAGTATCAATTTGATAATAATGAGTATCAAAAAGATACCCAGTTTTGATAATAGTAAGTCTCTATTCGATAAGATGGAGTATCAAATTGATAACACAAAAACATATTAAATTAATATTAATCAGTATCAAACTGAAAATTTCGAAAATGTCACTTTCACAATTTCGAAAATATCATTTAGACAACATTATTAATGAGGAAAAAAAATACTCTAAAGTTTCATATTGATGGCTAAATAGCATCGCTCCGATGACAACTTTTTTTTGAGTGTGGTAAGCAGTGCGCGCTTACACCGCGCAGGGCCTGGGTTTAATCCATAGTCAAAGCAACATCGCAAAAATATAGAAAAAAACGGTTTTCTTAACAGCGACCGCCCCTCGACAGCCAATGGCAAACCTGCGAGTGCATTTCTGCCATAAAAAGCAGCTTCTCATAAAAATACAATCGCCGTTCGGAGTCAGCGTAAAACTGTAGGTCCCTCCGCTTTGTGTGACAACATCAAGGCGCACGCCACAAATCGGAGGAGAGGCTCGGCCAAGCACATACAGTGACGAGCAAAACTGTAACATGGTGTAACACTTTTTATTTCAGCCATCGCTATATTTCCAAGTTCTAACGACTTTCATCCTTTTGGTGTATATTCTTGTTGGCGCATCCTTACTCCCTCTCTCATAACGATTTGAAGACAATACAACAACAATAAAAAACCCAGCAGACAAAAATGTAAATTAAGGCAGATGTTACAGTTTTGCACTCACTCTCAGTTACGCATTTGACAGTTATCTCTTACTTAGTTGGAAGTCAGATGACTTTTTTCTGTATTGTAATTTATTGAAGAAGTGATCACCAAGAAATAATATAGTTAATCAGGAACCATAAATGTAAACAATAGATTTACTGCGGAAAGGCGGGACCGCACGAAAAGTGGCAAAAAATTGTGGAATTTGCTACTTGAAAATGTTAAGACTGAGAAAAAAATATAGCCTAAAGTGTTCCCAAGGACAAAGGAAGTCTGTCAAAAAATATTACGGTACGATATCTTGTGAACTTAGCAGCAAGTAGCGATGCAGCTACTATTACAGAAGCGCTTAAGGTATTAAAATTTAACGCAATCAATAGACAGCGAGGCGAAGAATTCCCAAATTGATCGCATAGGCATCGCATAGGATCGCACGAAACCGGACCGTTGTCTATTGGGATATGTTAGGCCTTACAGAATGCAATAAAAAACACATTTCTAAGATTTAATTGAAGGTTA